TGAGCGGCTGTGGGACTGGCGGGTGACAAAGATTTGTCCTGACTGTGGGCAAAGCAGGAAAACTCTAGCTACAGTGCAGTTCTCTTTCAGATCCTGTGTTGCTTTCTTTAGTTCATTTAACTATTTGGGGTTTTTGTTTTGTTTTGTTGCTTTTCATTGTTCTTTTATTTTTTATGTTGAGAATTGTTCATTTGTTGGGATGGGTATCTTTTATGATATTACATGATAGCCTTCTTAGTGGTTCTCTCTCTCTCTCTCTCTCTCTCTCTCTCTCTCTCTCTTTTTTGGTTTTCCGAGACAGGGTTTCTCTTGTGTAGCTTTGCGCCTTTCCTGGAACTCACTTGGTAGCCCAGGTTGGCCTCTAACTCACAGAGATCCGCCTGCCTCTGCCTCCTGAGTGCTAGGATTAAAGGCATGCGCCACCACTGCCCGGCGGTTCTCTCTTGATAATATGTCTTAGGAGGTATTATTCTTGGGTTTGACGCTGGCATTTCTCAAATGAAATCTTGCCTGTATTTTACTTCCAGATTCTTCATCTAAAGCACAAGTAACACCATTTCACTTCCCCACAAAACAACCTGTGACTTTAAATTGCTTAAAATTCAACCTAAAATTCAGCAGAACACTGTAGGTTTTCTCAGATTTTGATCCTATTATATCTTTCTTTAGACCTAACCCACCATAAACAGTGATCCATTAATCCAAAAACATTTATGTACTATGCACTGACAAGATAGTTGGAAACAATAAAAGGGGCCTGACTTTATGGTGTTTAGTGACAAAAGAGACTGAAGAGGAAAGGGAGAAGAGGAGTTAGAGGAGTTACTAGCTGCCCTTCCAGGAGACCCAGGTTCAATTCCCAGAACCCACAGGAAGCTCATGATATCTGTAACTCCAGTTCCAGGGGAATCTAACACTGTCTTCTGGCCTCCTTGAGTACTAAGCATTTGTCATGCACATGCATGCAAGCCAAACACCCACACACATAAAAATAAATAAATCCTTAAATCTGGCACTGGTCATGGTGGTGAAGACCTGTAATCCTAGCACTTAGGTGGTAGAAGCAGGGTAATCAGAAGTTTGACATGCCTGCTAGATGGCTCAGCAGGTACCTGCCAAGCCTGACAACCTGAGTTTGAGATACCTGAACCCACATGACGAAAGGAGAGAACCAACTCCAAGTTGTCCTTCACAAACACCATGGTATTCATGCCCCACCCCCATGCACAAATAATAATTTTAAAATAGTAAATGGACAATTTTCTGTGACAAGAACTCAACTACTAATAATTCCTATGTATAAATTACAGCTATGGTCTGGAGAACTGAACAAGGTTCTATTTTTTTGCATCTAGGTCCTCACACAGACTAAGCCATATATACCTCTTTAAATTTCATTCTGAAGCAAGGTCTCCTAGAGTTGCCTCACCTGGCCTTGACTTCCCATCCTCCTGCCTTAACCTCCTGAGTACCTAGGACTGCAGGCCTCCACCACCAGACCCAGCAGTAGGCAAACATGTATGAATATGTTGGCATTCTTTACAACACTCTAGCCTGAATCAACCTATGTTAAACCTGGAGCTTTTGCTCTCTACTGTAGTACAATATAAAAGTTTGGCAAACAGAAAAAAAAAACAAATAAAACCCCAACAAATACCTGTTTAAGACAATGCCATGTTCTTATAAATCAATCTCTCTCTCTCTCTCTCTCTCTCTCACACACACACACACACACACACACACACACACACACACACGTCAGCTCAGTTTGAGAACATGATTCATCATCATTCATATCTTATCAGCTTAAAAATTCCAAAACAGGGATGGGCATGGTGATATGCATTCATTCATTTGTCATTTGCTCTTTTTTAAAAACAAAACAAAACAAAACAAAACAAAACAAAACAAACAGGGACACCCGCTTTAATTTTTTTTGTTTTGTTTTGTTTTTTTGTTTTCGAGGCAGGGTTTCTCTGTAGCTTTGGAGCCTGTCCTGGAATTCACTCTGTAGACCAGGCTACCCTTGAACTCAGAGATCCAACTGCTTCTGCCTGCTTCATGCTGGGATTAAAGGTGTGAACCACTACACTTGGATGGTCACATGCATTTAACCCCAGAACTTGTAAGACACAGGATTCAGGTCTGAGTTTTGAGGCCAGCCTGGTCTACTCAGTGAGTTCCAGGACAGCCAGGGCTATATAACAAAAAGATCTTGTCTCATAAAAACAAAAACAAACAAACAAACAAAAAAAAAACCTTCCAAAATCAAAAGTTTATAGAGGAAATAAAAAATGTAGCCCAAGAATGCCAGACCAGCCAGGCATGAAATCACAGAGATGGAGGTAGAAAGATAAGGAATAAAGATAAAGGAAGATAACAAGATGGTACAGCAGGTAAAGGTTTCTTTTTAATAATTTGTTTTATGTGCATTGCTGTTTTGCCAGCATGTGTATCTGTGTGAGGGTGTTGGATTTCCTGGAACTGGAGTTACAGGAAGTTGTGAGCTGCCATGTGGGTGCTGGGAATTGAACCAGGGTTCTCTAGAAGAACAGCCAGTGCTATAAACTATTGAGCCATCTCTCCAGTCCCCAGGTAAAGTCTCCTAACACCAATTTGGCCTCTGACCTCCACATGTATCCCCCTTCAACAAAAGTGCCTTTAATCCCAGCACTCAAGAGGTAGAACCAAGTGGATCTCTGTGAATTCAAGGCCAGCCTGGTCTACAGAGCGAGATCCAGGACAGGCTCCAAAGCTACAGAGAAACCCTGTCTCGAAAACAAAAAAAAAACAAAACAAAACAAAATTAAAGCGGGTGTCCCTGTTTGTTTGTGGAGGCAGAGAAAAAAATGGGCCAGGTAGCATAGCCCTATAATCCTTGTGAAGGCTAAACCATGAAGATAATAATTTCAAGGCCAGCCTGTACAACTTAAGAGTATCTGAAAAATAAAACTGAAATAAAATAATAAAAAGGCAATTCAGGGTACAATTTGGTTGTAGAACATGCAGAGGCCCTTGGTTTAATTGTCAATAGAACACAGTTTTGTGCTAGAGTCAAGAGCAATGGCTCTCAACCCGTGGGTCATGACCCCTTTGGGAGGGTTGAACAACCTTTCATAGGGGTCCCATATCAGATATCCTGCACATCCACATCAGATATTTACATTACAATTCATAATTGCAAAATTACAGTTATGAATTAGCAACAAAAATAATGTTATGGTTGGGGGTCACCACAACATAAGAAACTGTATTAAAGGTCACAGCATTAGGAAGGTTGAGAACCACTGGTCATGAGACAACTGTTGGTATACAGGCATGTCAAAAATACCAATATTAGATTTTAATCTTCAGGCTTTTAAACTGATTAAAGGTGGATAATTAACGGGAATAAAGTTCTAAAATGCTTGCACACTTTAACACTTTCAAATTCACAAGGGTTTTGTTTATTTTTGGAAAGCAAATGAAAAAAATCACAACAGACTCTCTCATTTTTGTCATAATTTCAAGGCTAACCTTCCTTTTTAAAAGTGGGGAAGATTAGAAAGAAAAACCTGAAGCACCCAACCATTAGAAAATGTTCCTATATTACCATTTATCATGGCCTTTTATCATTAAACACCTCAAGTCTACCGATACTATAAAGGCCAATGGCCTTTACAGCTTCTAGAGACAATCCATGTGAAACCCAAGGATCCCTCACTAACAGAATGCAGGTCACTGGAACACGGCAAACAAGTCCACACGTCAAAAGTGCAGCTCACTTTCTGCCGACAAGGCTTTCTTTCTAGAACTTCTCTCCAATGCAGGGTTGAGTGCCAACTTTACAAGGTGCCTGGCATCCATTTCTTCAACACTAAACTTTTATCTGGTTCCCAGAAGGTCACTCCGGTACCCTGAGTCTTGGTCCCACACACCATGGCAAATCTGGAACACCAGACCCGGCCCCTCCAATCATCCTCATGCCGGGGAGGGGGGAGGGGGTCAGTCCATGTCCTGTCTTCGAAGTGGTGCTGGCGGAAGTAGATGTGCCAGTCATATCTTCCCTCCCAATCTAACCACACATCGTTGGCCTGGGCACTCTGGATGACGGAGGCACGTGTGTGTCCTGTTCTCACACACTTGCAGGAAGGTGTCTTGAGTCCTGTAGGGAAGATGCAGCCTCGGAAGCCCCTTGACAAGATGACAGCTGGGCCCGGGTCTCCTCAGCTGTTCGCTCGGCCAGCTTCCCAACTCAACGTTTTCTCTCACTCACTAGGGTATTCACGACTTGTCAGGACAACCCCAACACGCCCTCAACTTGGATTTGCTAAGTTTCACCCACCAAGGAACTTTCTAGAACTCGCTTCCCTTGGAAAAAGCGTGGCCCGGCCGGGCAGCGGTGGCACACGCTTTAATCCCAGCACTCAGGAGGCAGAGGCAGGTGGATCTCTATGAGTTCGAGGTCAGCCTGGTCTACAGAGCGAGTTCCAGGACAGGTACCAAAACTACACAGAGAAACCCTGGGCGGGCAGCTCGGGACCCCACGGAGTCACCTCCCGTGACCCGGCCCTCTCCTCAGAGGGGACCCACGCCCACTCGACCGCCTCACCTCACACGAACCTGGGAGCCCGCGCCCGAGCTGCGGCGACCCCGGGGAGTCACTTCCCACGACCCTGGAGACCCCGCTCCACGAGAGGACCCACGCCCGCCCGCGCCCGTCACCGCACCTCACGCGACCCCATCTCCGCCCGCAGCCCACCCCGGGCCCCGAGGGGACGCCTACCCGAGCCCGTCACGACCCCGCCTCACCTCACGTGACCCTGTCCCCGCGGGGACCCCGCCGCCTCACCTCACACGACCCTGACACCTCACCGCTAAAATTAGACCGAGCGAGCGGCGCGCTCACGTGCACGCGGCCGGCCCGGGGCGAGGGCCGGACGGCGTGAGTCACCGGCCCCGCCCCCCACGGAGAGCGCGCTGACGTCAGGCGCGTCCCCGAAGGGTGACGTGAGCGCGCTGCCGGGCAGCCGGGGTGGAAAGTTCGAGCGTGTCCGTCTTAAAGGGGCCGCCGCTCCCGCTGGACCCTGGCGGCGCGGGTCCCGGGGCGGCGGCTGGGGGCGGGCGCCTCAGCTCGGCCTGCTGCGCACGGTGGTCGTCGCCTACGCTTTCCCAGCTGCCGTGACGCCTGTGAGCCGAAAGCACGTGGCTCCGGGTACTCCATGCCAGGGCTTCTCCAAACCCTCGTCCGGGGCGGAGGACTCCCGCCTGCACTCAGCTAAGCACTGCCATAGCCCTGGGGACCCCATGTCTCCGTCCTTACCACCTCTCGTCGGGTGACGTCGGGGCCACCCCAAACAAGACGCATGACCGTCGGCAAGCTCTTACCTTCCCACCTTCCCACGGGGCTGCCTCCAGAACCTTTTTTTTTTTTTTTTTGGTGCTAAAACTTTGGCTGACCCTAGGCCCACCCTGCGCAGTCTCCCCTGGTTGTCTGGAACTTGAGTCCTGGGCTGGCTGGCAGCCAGGGCCAGAGCTGCCCGAGGCAGAGCCCTCCACTGTGAGCACCAAGAACAGCTTCCTTCCTTTGGAGAGGTTGTGCTGTGGAAGGGGAGCCCAGCAGGGCAGCGGCAGGTGTTCTCTCTGGATGTTGGTCTTTCCCTAAATACCACAGGTCTGTCCTCCGGCTACCCATGCCAGGCTCACAGAAACTCCTCTCCGTGGTCTTAGAGAAGCCGTTCCTGTCCTCAGTCTCCATGCCTGTGTGCCAGGCCTCTCCCTTCCTGACCCTCATGCTTCTGTGGTTTCTGTTCTGCCCTGATGCCTGGAGTCTGTGGACTAACACCTTTGTGTCCCCAAGAGATGGAGAAAGCCCCAGACCGCCCCAGGTGCCTAGGGGAGGGGCTGCAGGTCAGCCACTTGGTGTAGGTGCCTGCAGCAAGCTACCTACCTTCATGACATCCAGGGAAGGTCACACACCTCTAATGACTCTGAGGGGGATTCTGAGTCAGCACATCCCAGAGACACCTGCACATCCATGCTTATTGCTGCACTATTCACAACAGCCAGATAGGAAAGCAGCCCAAATGTCAACCAGCAGGTGGTTAAAGAACATGTCTTTTATATACACAATGGAATGTAAATGATTTATTTGTTTATATGTAGGTGGGTGGGTATGGGAGCCAGTGCTACGGTGTACCTGTGACGATCAGAGGACAACTTGGTCCTTTCCTTCCCCCATGTAGGTTGTAAGATTGAACTCAGGCTCTCAGGCTTGGTGACAAGGCCCTTTACCTGCTGAGCCATTTTTCTGGCTCCTACAATGGAATTTTTCTAGGCAAAGAATAAAAATTGTTGTAGGACAATGGATGGAACTAGAAATCATTATATTAAGTGGCATAAGCCACACTCAGAAAAGTAGAGCATGTTTTCTGTAATATGTGGAGTCTAGATTAAAATCTGTGTATACGTGTGTGTGTGTGTGTGTGTGTGTGTGTGTGTGTGTGTGTGTGACATCAAAGTAGAAGGGGAACTCTGGGGACTGGAGACATGGCTCAGCTGCTAAGAGAAGACTGTTCCTGCAGAGGACCCGAGTTCACTTCCCAGCACATCTGTCTCCTCACAGACACCACTGACACATGGGATCCAACACCTCTGGCCTCTGCAGATCCTGTACTCGTGTGTACACACACAGAGACACAAAACAGTCACATAATTTAAAATAAATCTTTAAAAGAAAGAGGGAGGGACTTGGAATGAAGGGAAATAAAAAACTTGAGAAGAGCGAGTGTAATGGGGCGGGGGAGGAGGGGGACCAGTAAGAGGTATGAGGGGGGACTGAGAGGAAAGTGAGAGAGGAGAATAAGAACAAACTATAATAACTTATGAAAATGTCACGATCACACCCAGTTCTTTGTAAGCCAACCCAAGAAAATAATTAAAAGATGGGGGAGGTGACCAGAAAACAACTTAAACTTAAAAAACAGAAAAGATGACCCAGGTAGGACAATGGGTACAAGATGTGCCTGCACACAGTCGTAGGCTGGACATGTGGCATGAACATAGACTTGGAATCACAGGAAGAACTGGAGATACGGTCATCAGGACTGCCAGCTCTCGCCCTTCCCTTCTCTTCCACCCGGCTTCCAGACAGATGACCCTGGGAGTGATTTTCCCCATGGAACGACACTATGAGGTCCACTGCTGTTTTTAAATCTGCAGTAACCAAGATCTTGTGTGTCATCGCAGGTTTTGATTTTCTGAGATCCCAGTTTTCGCTCCCCACACCAGAAGCCCCATTAAATGTCAGGAAGAGCCGTAAATGCAAGCCACCACTAATGCAGAAGGATTGTGATCTCCGGCAAACAGCTCCAGCAAGCAAAGAGCAGGAAGCCTTGGAGCATTCCCAACCATGTCGGTGACTCACACAAAGCTCCAAGCACACTGGAGATGGGGAGCAGGAGGCACACTCTCGTTGGAGTGGGAAGTGGTCCAGGGGTTAGGAGTCAACAGCACTGCCTGGATCCCAGCACGGTGAAACTCAGAGGTCATGGCTGAGCCTGACTGACTCCATGGCAATTCCCTAGCAATAGTGTGCTGGCGAGCTGTGAGCTTTGCCTCCTAGAGTATGCCTATTCAAACAGAGCTCCTAAGATGGTTGGGTAGGATTAGGACACTTGTCCTTCATGACTTCCATCTCATGGGTCAGAAATGCATCCTGCTTATTCCCACCTCCCCTTTGTACCTTGTACAACTACACCCCCGGGAATTTATCTTAAACTTTTTTATTTCTATTGCAGCCTGTCCAGCCCACTAAATTACTTTAGCGTTCCCATTTCTGTAAAAGTTTACGTCCTAAAATGAGGGAAAAGGGGTTTGCTATAACAGTAACAGCAGTTTCATGCTTATAAATGTTATACATAAAATAATAATTGTAATCTGATCATTGGTTTTTATTATTACATTTATTTGTGGCTATCATGTTTGTGGAGGTCAGGGGACAACTTGTAAAAGTCAGTTTTGTCTTTCCACGATATCGATTCTGGGGACCAATCTCAGGTCGGCAGGCTTAGAGGCAAGCAAGCGCCTTAACCCTCTGAGCTACCTCGCTGGCCCAGAGAGGCTCTCAAAGGCTTCTTATTTCCAGTCAATACTTTATTCTCTGCCCACATCTATCCTCACCTTCAAACATGTATTATTGGAGGGTATAACTGCACAAAAATATGTGTAAACAGTTCCCGAGTCCCCGAAGGCCTTACTGACCCTGGTCACATGTGGTGGACAACTGCCTTAGCTAGGTTTGTTTTTATCGTCAACCTGACACAACCCATGTGGAATGAGTGAACTCCATGTGAAGAGCTGCCTCAATCAGATTGACCTGTAGCCATATCTGTGAGGAATTGTCTCCACCGATGATGATTGGTGTAGGAGGGCCCAGACCCCAGTGGGCAGCACCATGCCTAGTCAGTTGGGCCAGGGCTGTATAAGAAAATTAGCAGAAAGCAAGCCAGAG